AAATATATTGTCAAATGCAACGAAACCAACAAAATATAAAACTACAACAAGGAGTTACCAAACTTAAAGAATTTGAAAAACGAATACAATCAAGAGTACTACTAAAACTATTACAAACAGGATACTTTAACGGAAACCCACGTATAGGCTGGACCTAAGTAGACTTAAATGCAGACACTATAAGAAATGACACTATAGGACAATTTAATGTATTTTTTATGAGACAATTTATGGACAAACTTGCAATAGAATGTTTTGAACCAATACTATTCAGAAAATATGAAGCAAAACAAAACATATTCAATTGTTATTTTTCAAGCGATTTTAACAATAGACAAAGAATACTAGCACACAACTGGGAATGTAGCTATAACACTACATGTGAAAATGACCCAACACAAGCAAGAGAAGTATGCTTAAACCCAATCAAATTTTCAAAAGAAACCAATAGGAAATATACACAAACAGCATGCGGAGCAGACAAGAAAATGGGACAAGAAAATTTAGAATTATTTGATGCAACAGCAAACCCACCTGTATCAGCACAAATATCATTCAGATTATGGATAGATAACTAATATATTACAACCAACTTTACTGAAGAAGTACAAAAAGCATTTCAACAAATGAAATTCACACCGAAATATGCATTAAATGCACATGAAGATGAAGAATTTATGGAAGAATTCAATCAACAAAGAGACATATCATTTTTCAAACAAGAATTTGCAGAAAGACTAAAAGTTCTAATAAAAGGAACATTACCTAAAGGAAGACACCAAGGAGAAAACTATTAGAGCCAAATAATATTATTCGAAACTAATATTAACTCAGAAGAAATATTTTGGAATACTCTACATAGAGCATATGAGTATTACAAAAATGCAGAAGTAGGAGAATACTTTCGAAACAAATATCCTACTACTACCAAAAAAATTAATTATTTTCAAAAGAAAAATAACCCAAGAGAATTTTACAACAATGAAAAACTAATAAGAAATTATAAACCAAAAAACTATGATATCATAGATGTATCTAACCTACGATGCTTTGGATATGGAAAACCAGGACACTTTTTAAAAGATTGCCCACACAGAGAAAACTTTAAAGAATTTAAATCTTTCTATAATAAAAGATTTAATAAAGAAAAAAGACAACCACGAAATACTCAACCAAGAAACAAATTTCAGAAAGTATTTACATCTAGACACCAGGATGACCTAAAAATCCAAATGCAAAAAGATGACAACCTAAATTTGAACACACTCCCAAACCAATTGCACAATTTCAACAAGAACAAGCTCAGAAACCAAATGTAACATTTAAACAATTTAAACAACAAAGAGCAAAAAGATTTATGGCAAATAAAAGAAAACCATACCAACCTCAAAATAAACAAGGACCATTTAGACCAGGACAATAGGACCCTATACATGGAATTGCCTTTAAGAAACCAGAAACGAACCAACCTTTCAGAAGATTGAAACCAAGATACGATTCTAACTCACCAACATATACAATTTGTAAATCATTTACTCACCAAACTAAAGACTGTTATAACAATGTCTCACCAATGGAAACCAATAATTTTAACAAAAAGAAATCTGGAACTGAAAAAACTGAAAAAGAAATTCAAGAATAGGAAGATTTTAAAAGATATAAAGAAGCCATTGAAGCTTACAGAAAAAGTATTGAAGGATATGAAGAAGTATCTTCAGTAGAAAAAATCACTGAAAATATCAAAGATTTACATTTTTGATAGGAGGCATGTCCTATACTCACGACCAACCTCCATACTTATACACTGGTTGTATAGGAGAGTTTAATAAGTCTAAATTAAACAAATGTAAAGAAATATATAATTATAACAAACTATTAAATAAAAGAAACAAATTTAACTCGTATATAAACTCTACTACATATGATAAAATATATTTTCCAAAAGAAACTATTATAAATCCAAAAAAGCCTAAAGATGCTAAAGAATTTTACTTTATTGCTCTAATTAATAATACTCTAATCAAATGTAAATTAGATGAAGGATTAACAAATACAATAATGGGATTCAACCATGCCCAAATATTAGAATTACATAACCTAATACCGAAACCAGCTATCGCAGAAGCAGTAGAAAATAATGTCAAAATACTAGGAAAAATGATTGTTGATATTAAAATTAATGAATTTTTAACGAAACAAATTAAAATAGATGTGCTCAATACTAGTTCAAAATACATACTTTTTAGTAACAAAACACAAACAGAACTTGGAATAATCAAAGATATTCAAAACCAAGTCATTCTTATTAACAGCCAACCTATCTATAATCAACGAACCTATAGCCACAGCAACAGTAAGGTCAACTCATTTGAAAAGTACTTCGGTACTAGGGATAATGAGCACCGTTCTTACCGATCAATCAAAGATTTGAAGTTTTCAGATCCAAGATAGCAAGAGAACATGGTACCCAATGTTAAAAGAAATATTAATAATCAAGAAAAAGGACCGAACTCACAACACTTATTTAACACCAAAAACCATCCATCGCAAAATTATCCTAAGGAAACTAATGATACTATAAAACAACACAACAATACTCAACAAAATATTCTACAATTTTCAAGAAAATACATTACAAAGTTAGCTATTCAATTGTTTTTAATAGAGTTCCTATCCATTATCCGTTTATCCATTTATCTATTGGATATCCAGAACTGAATTTATTCAGATATCCGTTTT